GGGGCGGGGATTATGAGGAACAGCAGAGCCGCGGCGAGGGGTGGCGAGGAGCAGCGCGGTGGGGTGAAGAGGCCCGCGAGGGTCGAGGGGCGGGGCGCCGCGCTGCAGCCGCACTTGAGCACGCTTCTGTGCACCGGCGCTCCCTCCACCTACACAGGTGTGGCGGGGCCGGGCGAGGCCGAGCGCGGGGCGGGGCGCGGGTTCTGGTTTGGCCGGGCAGGGCAGCCAGCTCCCAGGGCGCTCCACTGGGCCCCACTACGACGCCCCTGCTAGGGACGCCCTGGGCTTAAAGCTCACCCCTGTTGTTCTGCAGACAATGGGGGGCCGAATGGGGACCGAATGGGGTCGAATAGCAGCGGCCCCGATGCTCCCCGGCCCGCGCGGCGACGACACCGCCGACTGTGAACATACGCCACGCGAGCGCAGGACCGGAGGCGGAGGACCAGAGGGTGCGGGTGGGTGGGTGGGGCGCTAGGCCAAGCAAGATAAACTCGTGAATTGTTTTCCGCTCGAGGAAGATAGTGATACAGTGGTGCTGGGGGAGAGCACCCACATTTCCCGGGTGGAAAGAAATGAACTTTAAGTATACTTTATTGTATACTTAATGAAAGTTAACGTCCAAATGTTAACTTTACGTAGACATTATGTGCTACTTGAATCCCTTGTCCGGAAATTTCTAGTACTTTGCGAATACTTTAAAGTAACTTTTGTGTACCTAAAGTTAAGTTTTAGTGAGGTAGAGGTATGTAGGTAAAAGTTAAGTTCTTTCCTCCCGGGTTTTCATAAGATATAGCTCTGGTAGAACAATTGTGCTAAGTCGTGTCTTTCCTGGGGCACTAAACACATTTTCAGTTCAAATGCCTTTCAAAGGCACTAAACCGCGCACTAAACAGACCAAAGTCACTAAACACTTGGTGCTGCTTGTTGAAGGTAGGAGTTAGCACCTTTGTTTTTCCAGTGAGCCTTTCCGGGTTGGGTTGCCTACACTCTCTCACCACGGCACATTATGGCCATGATCCCTTTGAGTGGACAACGCGTAAAGACGCCTGCCTGCCGTGCAGTGTGTGGGTAGATCAATGCCAAACCATGTTTCGCGTAACAGGCTCCGCGATATCTCACGAGGACACCTGTTACGCTTCGAAGTGCCTGGCAAACATCTACATATTTTTGAGAACAGGGAGAACACTTTGAGAAACCTTCAAAATTTGAGGAAAACTATTCTGATTTTGGGGGAAACCTTGTTTAAAGAAAGCGTGATTATTTTTCCCACTTTTTAATGAGATCCTCAAAATCTGTTTTCTTACTATGAAGGCTTCTCAAAGTTTCCCCTTCTTCCTCAAAAATTGGTTTTACTGTGTACCAAGGCGTGTACTCCGGCGTCAAGACACACTGGTGAATTTTATGAGGATCACGTGAAGCATTTTTTCAACGCAGTTGGCACTCTTTGCTACTTGTGGAATCAAAATTGCCGTCTGTCTTGAGCAACGATTAGCCTGTAAACGCTGCGGCGCGGCTGAAGCGCAGCTTTGGGCGGCTCAGGGATGGGGTTGGGGGAGGAGTTTTTGGGTTCTGCCCCAGTGTGCCTGCCACCGGGGCCGCGCCAGCCACAACCCCTGCTTGCCTTGGGTTGGAGGCCCTGGAAAGTTTCCGGAAAATTTGAGGAAAAAACGGAAAATTTCCGGGGGAAAGTTGAAAATTTTCCAGTTCCTGGAGGTTTTCCATTGTTTTCTGGAAATCTTTAGGAATTTTTCAGAAATTTCCGGAAAATTTTGGTAATGTCCAACCCTATGCTTGCCACGCCGGAGAGGCTGCGTCGACCCCAGGTTGGGTTGGAATGGGGTTGGGTTGGGATGGGGTGGGGTGGGATGATGAGGGGTGGGTTGGGGCCCACGACGCACACATTTGTTTCTCTTCGGTCTTAATCCTCTTTGGTCTGCCAGCAGCAGCAACTTTGGCTTCACACGGAGGGAAGAGAGGCGGGTGGGAAGGGGAAGCAGGGTGGCTCCAGCCCAGCCTTCAGCCGCGCACAGCACTACCCTACCGCCCCACAGCGGAGGTGTGCGCTGTACAGTATAGAGTGTCACTGACCCTGACAGCACGCGCTCCGAATAACAACAACGCGTCAGGACGGCCATGGGGAAATAACTTCGCGTGCAAATTTCGTGAATTTAATTTTGAATTGGACTGAATTATTATGAGACATCGTGCACTGTGAAAAACATCGTCGTAAATTTACAAAAAAAAACTTGTAAACTCGAATTATAATGTAAGTTGTAAATTTATGAGATGTTACCGATGGATTTTAAATCGTTACGTACTGCATGTGTTCTTACGATGCCAAACTGTAATTTTACAACTTGCGTCAAGAAAATTTTTCCTGTAAACCTTCCTGCTATTTTTCAAAGTGTCGTATTGAAATTATTGAGGACGGTTAGAGGGGGCGAGCACGGGCGTGAGGGAACTGCTCTCTGGCATTTATTCCAGCACAGTTGAGCGAAGTTAACTCAGTTTCGAACCGATTCTTTCTTCTTTCGTATACAGCCGATGTAGTTCAGACGCGACCAGTGTGAGTTAGTAAGCCCAAGTGAGAGGTGAAGAGGGGAAGGCGATAGGGGGGTCTGCTGGGGAGGAATCGGTTAGGGGTTGTGCAGAAAGTTCCGTTTGTTTTTTTGTCAGATTTATTCGAAAAATTACCGGAACTCGGCGCCTGTGAATCTCGGGGTAGGCAACCCCACGCTTGTATACACGGCAAGATGTTGTCTACCAACAAGGCGCTATGCGTGCACAGACTGAGCGAGGAAATTTCGTAACAGCGATTGACGGACTTTCTTTGTGGATGATCACATAACGGTTCGCTTCCTGATCAAATTTTGAAATGTCAGACCGACGTTGATTGCAAAAAATTCCCAACAACTCACTTGATGAACATGTTGACACCCGTGGCCTCCATCTCCCGGTTGATGCCTTTCCAGGAGGCCAGCATGGTGTACTTCTGCTTGGCGGTGAGGGGCAGCCGCGGGTCCGTGGCGGGCGGCGCGGGGATGTCGTCCTTGCCCCCGCCGCCGTCGCCGCCGCCGCCACCCCGGCCGCCGCCCCGCTCGGAGGCGGCCAGCTTGCCCAGCTCGCAGCCCATGGCGCGCTGCGCTGCGCTGCGCGAGGGCGATGGGCTCGCTCAGCAGCAGCAGCCGGTCGCCCGGCGCCGCGCCGCCCCGCCGCGCGCCCCGCGCTTAGCGCTGCTCGCCCTGCACAGACAAAAGAAACAAAAAACACGTTAGTTTTACTGTTGGGACTCTGGATTTAAGAAATATACAATTATCATCGCCTTTATCTTTTTCATGTGGCCGCACACACACACACACACACACGCAGACAGATGTGCTATAATAGCTAATGCGCAAGCGTACCACCGAGCTCATGGTAGCACGGACTCAAAAACTTGTGAATACAAATATTTGTAGGAGTGAGTACACTCGCGAAGAGACAAGAAAAATTCGGTCTTGGTTCGAGTGGAGGAGATATCTTAAACAATGTGTATTAATTTAGTGGCAAGGGTGCTGAGTGCAGTCCGGCGTGCCGTGGAGATGGGCGTGGCCTCGGGCGTGGCGCAGGGCGTGAGCGGGGTGCTCGGGAGGTGCCCGGAGGGAGCCTCTGGTTGCGCCCGCTCCTCCCCCTACCACTCTTGCAAATAAACAACCACAGATAAGTCCAGCAGTCCACCAGCTTTCTAATTAATCACCCGCTTTTCTCCAGCCGCTCACGATCAGTCTTAGCGATGGCGCTAAGCCCTCGTCTGTCCACAGAAGGGCCAGCAAACCAACCCCGCCCTCTCCCTCTGGTAGCTCGCCCTTATTTTGCTTTGAATAAAAACGAAGAAACGAAGTAAGCTTACGAAATCGATCTGCGTGGATGCCTGTATTTTTACGAAGAGTTGGGTTTGTAACGTACAAATAATCTAGAACCACCATATTTCAAATTGAACCAGTTTGTGAACAGACGCGTGTTCTTCGTATGAAAAAGACAACCCCTTCGTAATACTAAGGACTTAGGACTTGTTTGTATTGCAAAGTTTCCAAATCCTTTGTACGTTACGAAGAGTATTTCCTTTGTAAGAACCTTACAGTGTGGGTAATACTGCTGTGGTATTCACTTAAATATGAGTAATAGTTATACCGGTAAGATTAAAGTGATACTCGTGGTAATATCAGAACATGAACGAAAGAATATATCGGAGTGGACGAACCCTCGGGTCATTCGAAAAGTATGTCCGTCATCCGCCGTCACGCAACTGCCTCTTCCAGCCCCTGCAAGCCCACATAGCGCCTTATAGGTAGGCAACATCTCGACTGCAGTGCATGTGTGTACCGCGGGATGGCCTACCCTAAGCTTTGCAGGCGCCGAGGTCTCACAAAATTTACCCAATAATCTGAGAAAACGGCCCGCACTTTCTGGCAGATCCCATGGTGCTCACAACAGTACATTGATAAACCAAGTGTGCAACTGCAAGTTAAATACTTGCAATTACGCGGCTGCAAGTTGAATAATTGTGTAACTCGGTATGTACTTGCGATCCCTGCGCAAGTAGAAAGTGTTTTTTAAGGAAATAAACGCAAGCGTCGGTTTTTTTAAAGGAGGGATGCAGTAACTGTGCAATCCCTCTACTCTTTTGGCAAAGAAGTGCAACAGTGGGGTTAACTCATTGAGTGCGGGGCAGTGTTGAGCATCTCCTCCTGACCACAAAGTGGTGATGCTGCAGGCGTACTCAATGTGTACAAGGTCCTAACGAACGGCGCAAGGAGGCAAAGCAGGCCCAGGCCCACATCAGAGGCCTGCAGCGAGCGGGCAGCGGATGCCTACATGGCGTCCGAAAGCGGTAGTGCGAGTAAAAAGCTCGCGCCGGACGCCACGTAGGCATCCGGTGCCCGCTCGCTGCAGGCCTCTGCCCCATTTCGCTGCGCTCCGGAGAAAAGAGGTCGCGGCTGCTTGTTAATCTCAGTCGAGACGGACTGATTAAAGAAGGGAGGGGAGAGAGGGGGCTGTTATCACAACGCGTGGGGCATCCTGACGGAGGGCCCGGCGACCCCTGCAGGGAGGGTAGGGAGGGCGGCCGGGTGTACACATTTAAGCAAAAGGGGGGGGGGGCTCCGACCGTCCAATCAGTTACCCGGAGGAGGATAACCATGCTGGCACGCAAGCCATCTATAGGGGCAGGGTGAGGGTGGATGCCTCAGCCCCCCCCCCC